TGTTTTGTCAACTTATATTTCATTAAATATGAATATTTTCGAATATACTTGTACTTCTTTGCATAAAAACAAAGGGAAAAAACATGGACTTATTGTTATTTATAGGTAATTATGTTATGATTGTACTGGTCCGCCCCACTTGACATCTAATTAGGATGTATGAGACCCGTGAACCAAAATGAGGTTGACACCCCTGGTGTAGACACATTTATCTATTATGTCAGTATAATTTTAATTAATGATTATAATTATGAAAACGGCAACAACAACTAAAGACACTCTATGCGGCTTTTACACTATGTTTTTTTTTTTGATAATTCATGCATCCGTTCACAAACATAAGCAAAGACTACGACACACACACACATCCTGACACACGCCATGGAAGATTGATGAAATAGTTACCTCCAGGTGTTGTAGAAGAGCAGAGGGATGTTGAGGCCCACGGTTAGCCACTCCTGAGCACAGAGAAACATAATGCAAAAGAGTACATGGATGGAATACTCCGGTAGCACCAACTACAGAGAGGGGGAAACAGACACAGGAGGGAGAAAAGGATTAGAAACCAAGTCATCTCACGACAGGCTTTCTCGACCTACATGAGGTAATGTGGACCAAATGCTCGGCTGAAAAAAAGGGGGACAAGGGCGTGGCCTTCTTTCTGTAAGACTTAAGCATTAATCTCCCTTGCACTCAACCCCGTAGAAAGTGAGAACTGTTGGCTGTGGGTGCAACTTGACTTTGACAATCACAACTGCAACGACTTTGAGGGTCAAGATGATATTATCTTGTAGTCGTTTAAGGTTTGGTTTCATTATCAGGAGAAGAGCCAAACAAAACAACCGAACATCTTCATTTTTTCATATTACATGGGGTTCCTCGACTTACGTCGGATTACCGTTTCTACAGTGCGATATACTGTAGCTTGATTTTTGCTGTAAGAAGGAAGTCTAACTGTACATAAGTACCTATGACTTAAAAACATCAGAAGATTCTGACTTCGCCTGGGAACCAAAATGAAGGGTAGAAAGTGAATGTAGCACAATCAAATGTATGGCGTACAACCGGCAATTGTACAGTGAACGAAACTGTCTCCTGCATGTAGCGCCACGTCGGAATGATGACGCAAGTCTTTCTTAATGAATTTATTCGAGATGGCGATGGAACCACGAAACGCAGTTCATCAAGGATGTCGTAAACCGGGAACCTCGTGTTTGGCATAAAACTCAGCTGCAAAAAGCTTAAAAAAAAAAAAGTACATTCAATTGTGAACATTTGCGTTTTTTACAGACAACAAATGATTTTTTTACATCTTCAAATGTTGTATAAAAAGGATTCTGGGTATTTAAATCATCAAGCCACTAAAATCTGTCCAACAGAAAACTATTAAACGACTTCTAAATGACTTCTATTTCCTCAGGATTTTTTTAAATACAATTATTATTATTATTATTACAAAAGTCAGAGTAATTTACTACTCTTTGAACTCCAGTAGATTTACTTCACTAGTTTGGTATTACCAAAACAAAACTGAACATCTTCAGCGGCCTAGTAATTATAATTAATTAAAACACACACTTATATACGCTTATATATATTTAACAATACACAAGGCCTGACACTAATCTGTTCCACCACTAATCCATTTAACACTAACGCACGGTAACACACTCAGTCCAACAACAAGGCCGTGTTCTGTATGCATTATTTAAATCCCTACATGCCAACACAGGAAAAAAAAAACAAAAAAACATGTTTTCACTCAGCCTGATCTTGAACAGCACGTTCATAAAAGTGCTGCAAAGACACAACCTTAAGTGCATGAATTTGCTTACACAAACACAACAGTAAGGCTTGACGCAAAAACCTTGACGCACAGCTGCCGGGAATTGTTGTGGTACAGTACGTGTGTACAATTAAAGTAAAGAGACTATTTAAAACACATTTTAAATTATTATTATTATCAATATTATTAAATATATTTTATCTCTGAGCCAAGGTATAGCATAATGCATGGAACATATACCATAGTTTGGGAACCATTTTGGATTTTTTTATCCAGGGCAATGACTTTTTAATGACTTTTATACAGGGTCAATAGTCCCTCAAACGTTCGTGACTGGGTTTTAAGATGGTGGAACTGAACCAAATGATCTGTACTTATTTAAGGTTACAACCTGCTAAATCAGGATTCAAACCAGCGACCTTTCGACAATAAGACAACTGCTCCAACTACAGAGACTTTCCTGGTGGTCTCACCGATGCGTTGTTTGTGTATTGAAGGTGCTTAACGAGAAGAGATTAAGCCAAGATACACTCACGTCACTAGCTACAGACCATTTAAGGAAGGTTTTTTTTTTGGAGGTGTTTCCCTGTGGTACTTCGATAGAACTACTTTTTCAGCAACATGCTGCAGTCGCAGGCCTGGATTAGTCCATCTTTGCCTTGACCTCTACACAGTGTGCAAGGTCAGATAATCTAATGACACAAAGAGGAGGTGGGCGGTGGTATTGGATTGTATAGAAATCCATTCATTGTTCTTCTTCCAAGGTAACTGCTGAGAGAGAGTGTCCTCTTCGCACATAGGACACGTTGAAGCTAAAAAAAAAAGAAAATCAGAAATATCCCTGCTGGTCTGAGAAAGGGTAAATATTTCAGGGTCAGACCATTCAAAGAATATTTGGATATATAGTGTTTACTGAATACTCCAGGTTTCCAATCAGTGGCTGAGACATTTTTTTCCAATGCTATAAAAATACTTTTATACTTTAATATTCAAGTTGCCATAAAACAGTGGTTCTCAAATATTTACTTTCAAGCCCGTCTCTTGGGGACAGCAAATTCCCCTCTAGCAAATTCAAATCCTATTGAAAACCTGACAACATGTATATTTTTATCTGTACAAACCACTGTATGAGTTGCTGCCCCCTAGTGACTGGAGGCTTGTTACCATTCAAGCATTACAGCAGTGGAAGACTTATGTCCATATGCGTGCCCCCCCCCCGACACCCACTATTTGAGAAGTACTGCTATAAAATGATTTGAGGAGTCCTGTATTGAGAGATAGTTAAAGAATACATAGTGTATAATTTAAATTTTTAAATTGATTTTTTTTGTTCATTTATTTAGGATTACCGTAATTTTCTATCCAATTTGGTATTTAACTCCCCTAAACAGGGATGATATTTGTGAATTTATGTAAAGGACTGAAAAGGAAAAAAAAAACAACAATATTTATATGGGTGTACAACAGCACAACACCATGGAAAATTGTGAAAAAAAAAACCCATTATTTTATATTTATATCTCAAGGGCTGTGACACCAAATCTGGATCTCAAACTTATGAGAGTTCATTGTTCACCAGAGGAATACTGCAGCAGTAACTTTGTTGACTTTTTTTTATTTTGTCTTTATATTCGCCGTACGAGCCTCGACCTGTTCAAGGCACTATGGCAGGCAGTCCAACACTGACCACGTACAGACAAGAGTACACACCGAGCCTAATGATGTGCAGTCATGAGTCTGTTGCCTGGAGTGAGAGTTGTGCTCATTACAGCAGAATCCATTCGGAATTATAAAAAGGGAGACCAAGTTCCAGGAAACAAAAAAACAAAAAAAAATAGTTGGACTGTCAGAGAAAATTAATGTGTTTTTTTTTAAGGTAGGATAAAATTAACAGTGCATCTGTATCTACTTGCTCTAAATGGATACTTATTAGGTTACTTCGAAATTGTAATGTTATTTGATGTGATTTCCTACAACTTTGTTCGAATGATTTGGCTATTACTGTTGCTATCTGTAATAGACAGGGCTTCAGCAGGGCTCTCATTGGTCGATAATCGTGACAACACAAATTTCACACCAGGACTGAGCCACACCCTTAAATATTATAATTATAATAATATTATTGTATTGTATAATATTTGTATTATTGTAACAATATATCAATAATAATAATAAAGCATTGTTTCGACCAAACAATAGCTAAATATGCTAATCTGTAATTATACATATTATATTGTATTATACTATATTCTATTTAAAGCTGTAACGATGCATCATGAATCGATTCAAATGCTAGTGATTCACATCGATAAAAAAAAAAAGAAGAATCGCAAGAGAACAAATATTATTCTGCCGCAAACCTTTCGACCAATCACAACAGCAGCACCGGGAGTCAGCTAGCCAACTAAAGCAAACTAACAAATTTCTTGTTTTATATCTCGTGTGAAATGGATTGAGTGCAGTCAGTAAATTCTAAATCTCTTTAGTGACATACTGTATATTGTTAAATATCGTGGATGAAATGTATCGGAATATATCAATTATTACAGAATTGCTGTATTGCGATATTATCGTTATCGTGGGTAAAGATATTGTGATAGTATTGTGAGGTACCCAATGATACCCAGCTCTACTTTTTTTTTACAGTATCTCACTCTCTTATACTTCTTAGCCTTGTTGTGGGGCAGACATCCTCTTGTACCAACATGCTAATTGAAGGCTTCAGCCCACACAAGGCCGACTGGACTTGGCTTCAACTGCCTCAGGTGTAATTTAATAAGGCCAACCGCTAAGGAGTGTGCACACTGGCAGCTAAAAAGAGACTGGGGAGCCTTTTAAATGTGACTTTTTTTATGCATTTCTGCTTTGAGGCACGCAAGGCATATAGGAACTATGGGTCACAGTAAACACTCGAGAAAAATGATTGGGGTAAATAATGTGAGAGAAGCAAGATTGTTTTTTAATTTTTTTTAAGAATGTCATTTTTTAAATTTACTCATTATCTCACCCTGGTCACAGCAACTGTCAGCAGCCTAGCCTATCAGAGTCTGTACAAACAAACACCTCAACAGTTGAGTCGAGTGTCTCGGTGTGAATTCGGCATAAATTCCACTGGTAGTGACGGCATCTGCGCTCTGGGGAAAACAACATGTGAGTCGAATTGAAGGAAAATCCGGACGTGTTTTTCCTTCCTTTTTCACCCCTCAGAGGTGGTATGCCAATTTCTTTTTTGCTGCCGAATTACAAAGCTGAAGAAATACCCTTTAATACTGCAATATCCTATCTCATATTCTCTGTATTTCTCTACAGGATCATTTAGATTTGGCCATGAATCATAGGGTATTAAGAAAATAATTTGGAATATTTGCTGCTTTGACCAAGACATACATAGTTGTAGACCATAGTTGCACCACTGTTGTAGGACACCCGAAGGTAAAAATAGCGCAAAATAGGATCAAACCCAAACACTATACACAATAACACCACTGTTATAAGTAGAAGTACTTCATCTGTGAGTTACATAAAACTCAGAGACGGAGTAGGAACTCTCTCCCTCTGACACAGAACCAGCTGCGATGCATCAAAATAAACAATCAATAAAAGCTAAATAAAACTTTTTGTCCGTGCTTTAGTGTGGAAGTGAAATATGACTTACTTGGGATTTAAAAAAAAAAAAAACTGCAAAGACTTGCCAGCTTGTTGAATGCTGGCTTAAGGGACTGACTGTCTGAT